AATAAAATAAAATTTTAAAAGAAAGTTTGAACCAACTGTTCAAATTAGATCTGAAACCATGAATTGACGGTTCAAAATTAAAACCAAATCGCAATTATATATACTTATATGTGATAAATCAGAATTTAGAATAAATGCGAATAAGAACATACACTATTTGCAAATATTATAATTCTAATTTTAAGCTAATGCTAGTAATTGTTCCGATTTGAACCTCCGGTTCATGATTCAAGATCCATCTTTTTCAGTTCACGATTTTAATAAACCGGAAACCCAAATATTGGGTTATGGTTCTGAATCATAACAAAATTTTTTTATTTGATTGCCACTTTTATACTTTGTTGAAGAAAAATAATAAATAAAATATTTATTTTATGAGTAGAAATATTCATTTAATATATTAGGGAGAAAAAAATGTCACTTTTATAATAATTGAGGGAAAAAATGTGAATGTATGAATAACTTAAGGCGAAAAAAATACTATAAGTATATAATTCAGGGGAAAAAATGTCATTTTTCCTTTTTGTTTCATCAAAATAATTGATAAAAAGTTTCATTTATGGAAATGTATTTAAGATAAATGAATTTGAATAGAATTTCCTTCTTTGGAAGGTCCTATAAAGGAAAATGAATTCCACGGTTAATTATGCCTTTTTTGTTGTTGTGTGTATTTTGGTGGTTTGGTGGATCTATGATATTTTTATGAATTAATGATAATTTTAAAAAATCTTAAAAAAAACCTATTTAATGATTGAATATTAAAAAAAATGATAATACAATCTAATTAACTCATGGTTGTCCCTTCGGTTGACGTAAGCCCACAAGGGAAACAACAAAAAAAATGTACTTTTTACCCAAAAATAAAAGAGATTTTTTTAAAAAAAAAAAATAAAAATTGTGTGATAAAATCACGAAAGTATCATGACACCAGATGTTAAATTAGTTGACACCACATCAATAATAACTTGTTAAATATGTAATAATAAAACATAATTGTACTATTTTTCCGATTTAGAGGGCACTTCCCCAAATGCATTTGAATAGAAATTCCTTTTATGGAAGGTCCTATAAATGAAAATGAATTTAACTCTAGATTATGTTTTTTCTGTGAAAAGGCTACAGAAGCTAACGAATACGCTAAACAGATGTATGTGATACATACGAAATAAAACATGAAAGAAAAGAACGCATTAACTCCCTACATGCTGAAACAGCTATACCTTCATATGAACGAAACTCAGTCGTTGGTGTTGAAAGAATCTGGCAAATGTTTGAGCAATCTGAGCGAAGTGCCACATCCGTGACACCACGTCCCCGAAGCCAAGAGAGTGCCTCCTTACAAGCCAATGTTTCCACCATAAACGGCCCCAGGAAAGTCGGAAGGAGTCCATTCTCCGCCGCGATAAAACTACCGTTGGCGTGCTGTAAAAAAACTCCGTACGTCCCCTTACCGAAGACAGCGTCAAAGCTGACATCAAAGTAGCAAACCCACGATGTCGGACCAGACTCCGGCACTGCATGAGGAGGCGGAACAGTAGAGGACACCGTAGCCGCACGCCAAAGCCGTAGCCACCACTTTGTTTGGAAAAGCCAACTTAAACTCCCATAGAGTCGTGTTTCTTTGAGTCCACAGGTAGTACAAGACAACAAGCATCCGCACAAAATGGTCCTCCTCAACCTTTTGCAACAAATTTTCAAGCCATCCACCAAAGCCATCTCCCACCGTATACTGCACCATTAATCAAGAAATATTCCACATACATTTAGAATAATCACATAACACTAGAGTATGCATGATAGTTTCATTGTGGACACCACACAAAGGGCATGTTAGAGGGACCTCTACCCTCCTATTATAAAAGTTAGATGTAGTAGGAAGCACATCACTCACAACCATATAAAAAAAAATCTAAAGATCTATTTAAGGGTTGCAGATTGTTTTTATTCAACATTTGTAACATTGAGATAATAATGATTGATCAATTGTTTATTTTTTATTTTTTGAACATGTGATGTGATCTACCTCAATCTTTACATCAACTTTTTATGAAAACTAAGGTGTGTTTAGTTCATGGGTTTACATATCAGGAATGAGAATCAAAATCATAGTTAGTGTTTAGTTGACAATTTTTTAAAACACAACTATGAGATTTGATTACCTATTCAATTAAAACCCTTATTTCTAAATGGGAGGTCACAAGAATGAACCGCAAGACATTGACTCTTTGTGTTTCAATAGATTGAGAAAGTATATATGGACAAATACTACATTGTATCAGAGTCAATAGTACTAAAGAAAAGGCTGATAGAGTCAAGGTTCTAACTCAAAAGTATCACATTCATCAGTTAAATGTAGTTTACCGCCTTCAATATCCTAGAAGCGGGCTCTTAATCCGCCTTCCTCAATACTGTCATTGTTTTCCATCCCCTCCGTAAAATCCATTGGCTCTAATGGGATATACGAACAAATGGAGAGCCGCATTATTTTGTAGAAGACGAGCTTATCATTGGCTAAAAAATTTCTTAGAATGTAAAGTAATCTTTCATTTTCCTCATCACCCACAACAACAATAATATAAATTTTTAGCCCATTATAGTGCCGTTGCATCACAACTTTGTTTAAGACCCCTCTAAAGTCTTCCCACCCATAATCTAATGGGTTAAGTGATACCTCTTCTTCCCCGTTTAAATGCACATACGTGGCCCTAAAGTCCAACCAGGGCCACAAAATATGTGGTGTCATTTGATCTTGTCCTTGGTGATCATAGCAATTGTGACAGTTTCAGCAAAAGTTGTGTACCCAACCTCTACAACGATGTGAGCCACCACATTGTCCATTCCTTCATGTCTGATTACAACTGGAATGGTATTCTCTTCAACCGAGTCAATTTCTTCTTCCTCATCATCATTCCTTTCTTCCTCTTGTTCTTGGGGGACTTCTTGTGGGGGATTCATAATCATTCTAATTTCCTGAATGAGCTGTTTAGACTCGGTAAAATCTATTTTATTCCTTTCACTTTTCCAGTTGCAGCTGTTAGTCATTATATTATTATTGGTTTATAATGTATATTTTATATTCCTGTGGCTTTAGATTAGTCTGTTAATTCTAGTCTAGAGTTTAGGAGAGTTATGTGGTAGCTTTCATATAGGGCTCTATCTTGTAATCTCATTTGGTATCAGAGCCAGACCAAAGGTCACGGGTTCGAATCTCTATGTCACCCGATAAGAGACTACAGTCCACGTGTTGCTTGGAACCCACTGCACACGTGAGGGGGCGTGTTGAGCATATAACCATTAATATGCAATCCAACTATCAGCTTAGGCTTTTAGTTGAGATGGAGCACATGCTTCAGTTTGGTATCAGAGCCAGACCAAAGGTCTCTACGTGCTGCTTGGAATCCACCGCACACGTGAGGGGGCGTGTTGAGCATATAACCATTAATGTGCAATCCAACTATCAGCTTAGGCTTTTAGTTGCGATGGAGCACATGCTTCAATTTGGTATCAGAGCTAGACCTCAGCTTAGGCTTTTAGTTGAGATGGAGCACATGCTTCAATATGGTATCAGAGCTAGACCAAAGGTTATGGGTTCAAATCTCTATGTCACCCGATAAGCGACTACGATTCCGCACACGTGAGGGGGCGTGATCCACTATCAGCTTAGGCTTTTAGATTTGGTGTATACGGATATCTGGGGCCCATCTCCTGTTATTTCTGATTCTGGATACCGTGTTACTTCGTTTTATTTGTAGATGATCATTCGTGGTTTTCCTGGTTTTATCCGCTTCGGCTAAAATCGGACATATATAAAACTTTTGATTTATGCCGGGCAATGGTAGAACGACGGTTTTCCCGTTCTATAAAAACCATCCAGTTTGATTTAGGAGGCGAATACCGTCGTCTACATACTATTTTTGAGTCCCTCGGTATCATACACCGACAATCATGCGCATATACTCACGAACAAAATGGCCGGATTGAGCGCCAGAATAGACATATTGTCGAAACTGGTTTAGCACTACTTGCTGAAAGCTCGGCTCCGTTAAAATACTGGGATTATGCATTTGAAACATCCACTCAATTAACAATTGCTTACCATCCTCCACCATACAATTCCAAAGTCCTCATTATCGCCTACATAAAACTCCCCCAACCTACACTTTCTTCTGTGTCTTCGGGTGTAGATTCTTTCCCTATCTAAGGCCATACAATTGGCACAAGATAGAGTTTAGATCTGCACCATGTGTGTTCCTAGGTTACCCTGTTTCATTTAGGGGATACCGCTGTATGGACCTAACCACGGGGAAAGTTTTCATCTGCCGTCATGTTCGATTCGATGAGACTGTTTTCCCTTTTGCTATGCAGGATACTTTGCAGGGTGGTCCCACTACTGTGGACTCGTCTATTCCATGGGGATCGAACCAAGTTGTGGTTCACTCACATGGTGCACTGGTGCTGAATGAGTCACCTTTGGCATAAGAACCGACACCTATGGCAATAGAAGCACCACCAGTTACTAACACCCGTGCAAAGACGACCCCTACTACAGAAGTCGAGCACACAATACGCACTCGTCGCAAGACACATGGCACTAGGGAGCAGTTTTTTGCTCTCAACACTACTGTGGACCCTACGTGCTATTCACAGGAGGTTGGCCACCCGCAGTGGCGGGAGGCTATGGATCAGGAGTTCAACGTTCTCTTACATAACAACACGTGACAGTTAGTTCCGGCTACACCTAATATGAATATAATTGGTTGTAAATGGGTATACCGCACTAAACGCAAAGCCGATGGCTCGGTCGAGCGGTATAAAGCTCGTCTAGTCACAAAGGGGTTCAACCAGGTAGCCGGCGAGGATTTATTTGACACATTCAGTCCCGTCGTGAAACCCACTACAGTCCATATATTGTTTTCCTTTGCGGTATCTCGCAAATAGACTCTCCGATAGTTGGATGTCCATATGCGTTTCTTAATGGTCATCTATCTGAGACTGTCTATATGAAGCAACCACCAGGCTACGAGGATCCTACACATCCGGGGCATGTCTGTCATCTTCAGCGTTCGTTGTATGGGCTCAAGCAAGCGCCTCGTGCCTGGTTCAAACGGCTTCAAGAGTTCTTATTATCTACCGGGTTTCAAGGGTCGAAGACTGATGTCTCTCTTTTTCACTATACGGCTGGTGACTCGAGGGTTTACTTATTGGTTTACGTTGATGATATCGTCATGATGGACAGTGACAAGGCCTTAATAGACTCATTACTTCACCATCTTGCGTCCACGTTTAAGATCAGGGACCTCGGCACTCCGGGCTTCTTTTTGGGTATCGAAACTTTGTTTGACACAGACGGGCTTATTTTGTCACAGCGTCGATATATGAAGGACATCTTGACTCGGGCTGGCATGGCAGAATGCAAACCCTTGGCCACACCAGCGGTAGTCACTCAGCCAGCTACACCGACACTCGAGCCATTTGAGAACCCTACACAGTACCGTCGCATAGTCGGGGCTCTTCAGTATTTGACTATCACTAGGCCTGATCTATCATATTCTGTCAACAGGTTGTGTCAGTTTATGCACTCACCTACCGAGGATAATTGGGCCTCACTGAAGCGGGTTCTCCGGTATGTCAAGGGCACTCAGGACTACGAGCTACGAATCACGCCTTCGTCATCCACTGAACTACATGCTTTTTCATATTCGGACTGGGCCAGCTGTCCGATTGATCAGAAATCCACTAGCGGGTATGCAGTTTTTTTGGGGGGTAATTTAGTATCATGGTTATCTCGCAAGCAGCGCACGGTCGCCAGGTCTTCCACAGAGGTCGAGTATAAAGGACTTGCTGATGTCTTCGCAGAGGTCACTTGGATTGTCTCGTTACTTCAGGAGTTAGGGTTGTTCTCCGGTAAACCGGCTTCTCTCTGGTGTGACAATCTCGGGGCCACGTACCTAGCAGCAAATCTAGTTTTTCATGCTCGCACGAAACATGTGGAAATCGATTATCACTTTGTCCGGGACAAGGTCGCATTCGGGGACTTCATTGTTAGTTTTGTCTCTACAAAGGAGCAGCTGGCTATCTTCACCAAACCTCTTCCTGCGGCGCGTTTTCAGAATCTTCGAGGCAAGCTCAATGTTGTTTCTCTCCTACCTTGTGCTTGAGGGGGAGTGTTAGTCATTATATTATTATTGGTTTATAGTGCATAGTTTATATTCCTGTGGCTTTAGATTAGTCTGTTAATTCTAGTCTAGAGTTTAGTAGAGTTATGTGGTAGCTTTCATATAGGGCTCTATCTTGTAATCTCATCGCAGTAATGATCCGCTGATTGCCAAAGAAATGGCATTAATTGAAGTACAATGTTTGAAACCTGCATTAGTCAATATATCAAAGATTAATAAAGAAAAAGACAGCTTATATATTTGCAAATGAATACAAAACTAACACACAAATACATCTTGAAAATTTATATATATTTCATATTTGCAAATCAAAACAGAGATTCCATGAACCTTAATAACAGAGATTCCATGAACATGAATACGAGCTAAGGTTGAACAACAGTAGACATGCATTTGAGCAAAGAATGAAAATAGTACTGTTGATGATGCATATATGCATATAGAAGGAGTCTCAGCTCAGCCCGATAGAGGCTAAAACAAGTCTGGTAAATCCATAGTAACACCAAAAATAATACTTTGGAAAGAAAAGATAAACCACAGCTCAGAATTAACAAAACCAAAGTTGGAAAAAAGAAGCTATTGGGCCTTCTCATCATCAATCACCATCTTCCTCTTCTTCACAAATTACATGAGTTCTCGCATCCGTCATACCTCTTCTTCACAAATTATGCCCTAATGATTGATAAAGAAAGCAAAGTTTCTTCAAGAAGAAAATGGGGAGTAGAATAGACTCTTACTCCAATGACCATTTTGGAGGGAAATTGCAAGTTGCAAGTCTTGCAACTGCTTCGGTCGTAAAACATGGAGTTAATTTATTTATTTTTCCCTAACCATATTATTGTGGCATGGTTATCCATCAAGAAGTCAATTTTTTTTAGTACTATTGACTCTATTAGAAAATGTTTTAATGGCTTTAATAGAATCAACGATATTAATACAAGATTTAATAAAATAACATTTTTTTCATCAAAATAATTGATAAAATGTTTCATTTATGGAAATGCATTTAACATAAATGAATATTTGAATAGAAATTCATAGACGCGATCAAAATGATGTGGTAAATAAGTCAAATCACGTTAAATACTCATGCCAAGATCTCAACATGTTAGCCACGTGTTCTGCATGCACCGACTTCGAATGGAACGGTCTCAGTTAGCACTTGGTCCACAAATGCTGATTACTCGCTTTATTTTTAAATTATTTTTTTATTAACATGTAATAATGTTTTAATGACTCGTAATAGAATCAACAAAATTAATACTAGATTTAATAAAATAACATTTTTTCTTCATCAAAATAATTGATAAAATGTTTCATTTATGGAAATTCATTTAACAAAAATGAATATTTGAATAAAAATTCATAGACGACGTCAAAATGATGTGATAAATATACAAAATTATGTGTAAATACACATGTTGGAACCCCGGTATATTAGTCACGCGTCATGCATGCACCAGCCACGAATGGAGCAATCGTTATGCCATGGAACCGTGTTCACCATCCATGGTGAACACAGTTCCAAACGGTAACGGTGCCCGTAAGTGGCGGGGCGTCTTTATCTTTTTTTTTTTTTTTTTTTTTTTTCTTAATTAACAGCGCGACTTTTCTTCTTCATTTTCATATTTCGCGATTTCACTTCCTCTTCGCGCAAGCTTCTTCAACACTCATAAATTATGAATGTGCAGGCATGGATTTATGAATGTGCAGTTATGAAATTATGAATTTTCTTTTATGAGATTATGAATTTTCTGTTATGAGATTATGAATTTACAGAAAATTCATAATTACATAACTGTAAATTCATAATCTCATAACATAAAATTCATAATTTAATAAATGTAAATTCATAATCTGAACATAGAATGCAAAACGCCGTTTTTTTTTTTTTTTTTTTTTTTTTTTTCCGTAAAAACGACGCCGTTTTGGAACGTGTTCACAAAGCATGGTGAACACGTTTCCACGACATAATTTGCACGAATGGAGCGGTCTCAGTTGGTCCACAAGTGCTGAGATTCTTCACTACTGCATTATTAGGATGCAGGACCGGCCCAGAGGGGTTGGCAGGCTGGGCACCTGCCTAGGGCCCATCTCTAGAGGGGGCCCGGCCATAAGATATTATGTATGTGTGCAGGGGCGGAGACAGAAAGTTTGGGTTGGGGGGTCGAATTTATAGAAGAAATTTATATCTTAGTCAACATTAGTACCAACCATACAATATCATTATATATATATATATATATATATATATATATATATATATATATATATATATATATATATATGATTGTGCCGATTATTATGGATAATTACTTTTAATTATACTATGTGCAATAATATATGAAATATATAATTATATGAGTAAGATCGTTAATGTTGTCAAATATTACTTTTGAATTTTTCACATAACACAAAATATATGCAATAGTAAAAAATAGGGAAAATTGCACTTCTTGGCCCTAATTAAGTTATAGGGCAATTGTAGAATCCATCACTAATTATTAGTCGTGCTCACTTATCATCTTTAAAATATACTCCGTAAATGATGTTACACATTTCGTCCCTTTATTAACAAAACATTTGAGACAAAATTTGCAACATTATATAACTTAGAGACTAAGAGTGGGCACAACCTATTATTAAAAGGACGAAATTTACGACGTTAATTATACCTTAGGAACAAAAAGTTACCACGACCAACAATTAGAGATGAATTCTAAAATTACCACAAAACTTAGAGATGAAATGTGTAACTTTCTTAAAAAATTAGAAGAGTCCAAAAATATAATTTATCAATATTATAATACGTAGTAATATATACATATATATATATACTAAAAATGAGGGGTGAGGTAGAGGGCCCCCTACCCTAAGAGGTGGCTCCGCTCTTCTGTGTGTGTTTGTGTGTGTGATATTAGTTAGTATATATTGAAATAAATTGTGTTAATTGATGTGTGGTTGTTTAGGAATCTTAACTATATTGTTGTTTAAGAGTTGAGAATTAGGAATTTTGTTTGTCTTTTAATTCTGTATAATGAAAATGTAAGTTTATTAGTTTTATTATATGATGATGATGATTGGTTTTATTTTAATTTATTGTGTGTATTGAGAACTGAGAATGCTAGAGAATATTAACCTTTGATGCAATTATTGATATTTTGCATGAAGTAAAACACGTAGAAATTTTGTCTTTTTGTATTTAAAAAATTGTTGAAAATTTTTGAATTTTATTTCATGTTATGTAATATTATCATTTTTTTTAGTATTATTAAATTTAAATTTAAAAATTTTCGTATAGGGACGCTTTTTTAAATTTGGTCTATAAAATGTTTGGACTAGTCCTGTTGGGATGTGACCAGACAAGGTGGCCGGTTTGAGTTAATTCAATTCCTTGAATCTTGGAGACTGGGTTCGGGGTAATTCTTTCGACCAAGAGGTCGGTTCTTTAGTACCAAGCACGATAAATAACTAAGAGGCCAGGTCCTTGTGATTGTTCTTAACATTCATTTGGGTCAGGATGGACTCAAATGATGTCGGATCTACTCGGTTCTTTAGTACCAAGCACGATAAATAACTAAGAGGTCAGGTCCTTGTGATTGTTCTTAACATTCATTCGGGTCAGGATGGACTCGAATGATGTCGGATCTACTCGGTAAATTGATCGAACGACCTACGAGATTAATACTGAACAGGTATACACTCGAATGAGTGAGGAGTATTCTCTATCAAGTACTTTGGGGAGTCCAACTCTAATGATGCTTAAGGTGGGGTTCGAATTCCTACTCTAACGCCTCCAACTCCAATTGTAACTAGAGGTCAAGTGATCAACCTCTATACTAGCTCTAAGGGCAACTAATATCAACTTTATTTTCATAGGCTTTAAGCTACAAATGACTTAAAATCTCATTATTTTTCTTTCTAGGTCATCTGATCTAATATTAGAGGCACTCAAGGCTTACATGCTTATAAACAACCATCATCAGGTAGCACAGTAAGAAATTGTTGATTGAACATGAATACAAGCTAAGGTTGAACAACACAGTATAACCTATTTACAGCACATGCATTTGAGCAAAAAATGAAAATAGTTGGTAACAGAACTGTTGATGATGCATGCATATAGAAAGGAGTCACAGCTCAGCCCAATAGAGGGTAAAAGAACTCTGGTAAAGCCATAGTAACACTAGTGAAGAATACTATGGAAAGAAAAGATAAACCACAGCTCAGAATTAAAAGAACTCTCATCATCTTCTTCTTCACAAATTACATGTTTTTTGCCATTCGCCATATGTGTAGACTTTTGTCATTGGCTGCACTGGCGATAGCCATGTCGTAGGTTGGGCTCCATGAGAAGTCTGTAATGCTATCCTGGTGGGCAAAGTGAAGAAAGGCAAACTCCGGGGGTCCTCCTTTAGCCTCCTCACTGGTTTGGAAGCGCCCGATCCTGGATGGCAAGAAAGCCAAAAGAGTGAATTACATACAGGTCTGATCTGTTTTCTTCTTGCATCTGTATATATATCTTTGAATTTGGGGACAGTTTTGACAGAGAAATTGCAGGTAAAAAATATGGCGAGGCCAGGGGAAATCAAGTTGGCCACTTCAAGAAATGAACCAGAATCTACACAGACAAAAATTTCCTTCTTTGAGAGTCTCTCTCTCATATTCCCAAATAGAACTTGTGGGCATGAATGCATGATTTCATTTATCTAATGATCATTAACATATAAACAGAAAACCAAACCTGCATTGTAATAATTCAAATTTTACCATTTGCCAGACCATATATCAATGCTATAATTAGGATGTGTAATCAGTAAAGACTGCTGCTAACATTGCAAGAAAAGTAAAAAACTCATATAACAATGCATTCATTTCTTGAATTCTTCACAGATATAGCTATGCACCATGTAACAGTACTGAAGAAATACCTGTTAATATCCCAAACAAGAATATTCCTGCCAGAACTTGAAGCTAAAATATTCTTATGCTTGTGATTCCACTTAACATGGTCAACCTCCCCCCTGTCACAAGGTTCAGAAAAGCCTTCAAT